ACCTCTGCTAATTCCCTCAGCACTCTGGGGTGGAGGTCGTCAGGACCCACTGATTTAAACACGTCCAGTCCCTCCAGAAGTTCCCTGACTAGATCCTCACTGCCCCTAGGCCTGGGTGCGCCTCCCCTGGGACCATCGGGGATCCTGGTGGCAGGAGGCAACCCGGTCCCTGCTCAGGAAAATGGAGGCAACGAAATTGTTAAATAGGTTAGCTTTGCTGTCTGGTGCGATGACCAGATTTCCTAGCGTGTCCTGCAGAGGCCCCACATTACCCGGTACCTTCTTTTTACCTGCTATGTATGTAAAAAAGGACTTCTTGTTGTCCTTGATCCAGGTAGCTAGTCAGTCCCAGTTCCATCTCTGCCTTGGCCTTCCTGACCACCCCCCTACAGCCCCGAGCAACAGAGGTATAGTCCTCCCTGGTGATGGCCTCCCTTCCATTGGGTGTACGCCTCCTTTTTATCTAGGAGACGTTCCCGGATGCTTTTGGTGAGCCATGGGGCTTTTGCACCCTCTTGCCCCCTTTGATCCTTGATGGGATTACCTCCCTTTGGGCTTGGAGGATCATCTCCTTAAGGAACAACCACTCTTCTTGGACACCCAATGCCCCTCCCCTCCGGGACCCCAGTGTCTCCCCGACTATTCTCCTTATCTCACTGAAACCCGCCCTCCTGAAGTCTAGGGCTGCTGCCTTGCTGCAGGCCTTTGCCACCTTGCACTGGATGGTGAATTCCAGCAGGTGATGATTACTGTCGCCCAGGTGGTCGAGCGCCCGCAGCCCGCTCACCGGGCTGTGCACCTCCTGGGTTAGATGGAGGTCCTGCATCTCAGCTAGGAACCTACCCTACTTTTATCATTAGCCAACCTACCCAAAACCTGTAATCCAGGTAACTGCCACCAAAGTGACAGTGCTCTTTACTGAGTGACTATTCAGTATTTTGTTTAATACCTATTGCTCACTGTGTGTCATTTTTGAGTTGCTGTTATCCCTACTTTACAGATGGTAAACTGAGGCAGAGAAATTAAAGATCAAAAACGTTTCTATTAATATTGGGTGCCCCATTTAAGACGAGCAGGATCCAAGGATGGCACCAGTATGACATCGTGGCAGCAGTATGTCCTGCCTGGAATGACTCTCAGCACCCACTTGCATGTTTTGACATGTGGGACTATACCAGGCCAGGGGGGGTTACTCTACAGCATACTGCTTCTGCTGCTTTCCAGACCACAGTACCCAACATGTTTGGCATCAAGTCCAGAGATGTCCCATGAATGTATTTCCAGGTTTGGAGCATGTTTGCAGAAGCTGGTTGTTCTGGCCTGTGCAAGGGTATCCCAGCATCCAAGCTGTACAGTACAGTACAGAAGTACCCTCAGCAGCTTGCTGACTGGTATGAAATCTAGATCTCCAAGGCAGCACTCAACAGCTTTTTTCTCTTGCTGCAATCCCCTGCTTTACTTACCACATGATTTCCAGCTTCCTCATGAAATGTCAAGTCTCCTTTACTACACAACCCCACACCCAGTCTATCCTCTGCACCAATTCGGACATGGCCCCAGTAGAAATCAGAATATTAATCTGCATTAAAGACTGCATCACACTGCATATGCAAAAGGGCTAGATTCATGTTACACAGGCACACTGCACTCTTCCTAAGCTTTGCGTGCCTGATCTGCAGCATAACAACGTAGCATGTAAGTAATTGCCAAGTTTTTTTTTTAAAAAGTGAACTGGAAAAATAAATTCCATCATGTGGCATCAAGATACCTCTCAGTTCATTAGAAGAGTCAGAACTTTTAGGGTTTCCCTCCCCTAAAAATCTCTGAAGTACCAATAGTAGCAGAAGTAGGTAGTCATCCTCTATGGGAACCAGCAATAGAGGATGATAAGGAGCTTTGCCAATGTGTTTTACAGCTGTTCACAGAAAAGGAATTGGGACATGGGCAGGAATCTCTAGAGGCTCTAACGGGGCAGGAAGTCTAGTAGGCACAGATTCTTCTGCCCACTCCCCATAAGAACGACCCCTTCTGCCACCCTCCAACTTATCCCTGTCTCAGTCCTGTATTCTCAACTTCATTACATTCTCCTTAGTCTCAGTTTCTACTTCACTTTTCAGCCTACTCTCATGCTGCTTGCACAGCCATTCCCCTGTCTCCCTATCCTCCATCCCCTAATAACTCCCAGCCCTCATTTTTCTTCCAGGCTCCTTGTTCACTTAATGCCTCCCCCTTGATTCCCTGTCCTCCTGGCCAAGCTAGGCCCACTCTCTTCATCCCTTCCTTGCATATCTGTCCACAGGCCCCAGGAGAAAGCCATCTCTCACATAAATGTCACCCACTTGACAAATGCCATGTCCCTGCTCTGTGGAGGTGTTCAAGTTGCTCAAAACAGATTGAGAGATTGTAACATAGGCTAAATGATGCATGTTTCCTCTAGTCTAATTCTTGGAATTGGCTGAAACATTTTGCAGGAAATTTTCCAAAATATTCAATCCACACCCGGCCCCCAAAATGGAAAATTCCAACACAAATGCTTAAGGACTGATAAAGTTGTAAGCAACCGAAAACAGGATCCAATAAGATTAAGTGTTACCAGTTTAGCCAATACTTTTTTAACACTCACTCACACATACCTTATTGACTCCTGATTAAGTAAGGGCCTGAGCTTCTTGAATTGCTTAAAGTTGATCAGTGTTTTTAAATGTTTCATAATAAGCAAGAATGTATAATTCTTTACTATATTATATTTGTCAATTAAAATAATTCAGAACATTTTTGTTGGTGTGCGTGTCTACACATCACTGTACAGCAACATTGCTACAGCACTGTGTTTTAGTACTGTACTTTCTTTTAGTACTTCCTTCCCTCCAAAAGGAAGCAGTAACTAAGGCATGGTGCAGTGACTGCCCCTACTGTGCCGTGCACACAGTGCATGATTAGATTTTGCTGCTACATTGCCATAATGGCGCGCTACAACAGGGGAATGCGGAACTACGGTAATATTACTGCCAATTATGTATGAACCCACATAATCACTATGTTGCCATAGTGCGCTGTATGGCAACATAGCGCATTGCTATGTTGCCATAGGGTGGCATGTAGATGTGCCCAGTAAGGTACATAAAAGTGCTGTGTTTTTCAAAACATAAGAATGGCATTTTACTGTGACAATATAGTTAAGACTCAGAGGGGAATATAAATGCTATGCGAGTTACTGGTTTGAAACATATATATATATATACCATCCCAGAGCAAGCAACAGCAATTATTAATAAATACAAAAGCTGTGGAAATGACACTCCAAGTATTCTGAAAACTGCACTTTGGATGAATCCCTGATGCATAAACACAATGCTTCCCATTCTAAACCAATACGTGAGTCTTTCATTATAGATCAAAAGAGATAGCAGAGAAATTTATGACTGGTGCAGTAAGTACCATTTCAACAAAGAGATATTTAAGCACCAAGATATGCACATATACCTTTTTTGCAGTGTTCCTTGTGTTAGATACAGAAATATTGCTAAAGCCACAATTTAACTACTGCTGATGGTAAACAGCTAGCTATTAGAAGCACTTAATGTTGAATAAGCCAATTTTCATCAACTTCTTTTTGCATGAATTAACTGCCAGATCAGTCATCAATACTGAAGACAGGCATTCTGGATACCAGTCCAACCTTGGCCACTGACTTGCTGGAAACCCTTACATGATTTAAACATCAACCCCTTACATGATTCTCTTGAATGTGTACCATGACCTCTATTTTTGAGAATCTCACCACAGAAAACAAGACCTGAATTTCCATAATTCCTGATGGTCAATGGGAGCTGTGAGCACTCAGCATCAGAGACTCTAGTGCCTGGAAAAACAGTGGACATTTTGGGGCCAGATCTTTCATGGCTGTGGTTAATGGGTTGCACTGCATGACAGTCTGAGAGGGTTGATTATAATAACTGTTGTTCCTTACCAGGAGACTGAGAGGTTTCTTGTCTCAGCCTGGAAAATTCAGTGGTGCTTGAATCTCTTAGCTTTTCCTTTCTCTCAGATAATTATTACTGATCCTCATAATTACATTTTAAGCCTTCTGGGATGCAGTTCATATGGAGGATGGTATTTTAAAATCAAGTTACATTACACAGTATTAAAAAAGTTGATTAATAGGAAGTATCTTTAGACCATCGGTACAAATGAAATAAAACACAAGGGCCCAGATTCCACAACATTGGCATAAGCGCCAAGTGGTCTGGTTCTGCTCATCAATAGAGCTCTTTGGACTTACACTAGAGTATCCAAGACCAGAATCAATCCAAAGTAGTAATTACATTAACGGAATGGAAATTCTGACATACAGGGCGTACAAAGAGAACTGCAGTCATGGCCAGATCTCGCTGAAAGAAATCTGACTAGGTTTCAAACGAGACACATTGCTGAGGTATTAAGTTTTGAGAGAAGAATAAAAAGGATAACTCACTCTTGGAGTGCTACACAAACTCTGAACAACAAAAACAACAGGATTCCCAGAATTCTTGATAGCTTCAACTGCCTCCTCATGCGTGGCATTTTGTAAGTCTACTCCCGACACCTAACAAACAGAATTCATTTTCATAAATTACTAAAAAGAACATATCTTCCATGTTGCAGGGGTTTAGGTTGTAGCCGTGTTGGTCTAAGGGCATAGGCAGACAAGGTTCCTTGGGTGAATTTGATATCTTTTATTAGACCAACCCAAATAGTTGGAGAATATTTATTAAGCAAGCTTTCGGGTTCAAAAACCCTTCGTCAGGCTAAGGAAGCTTCAGCAGTTGGTGTGTGCTCTTCCTGGATGGAACTGACTCCCCAGCCCAGCCCCCGGCTTCTTTACTTTTCATCCCTTCCAGGAAGAGCACACACCAACTGCTGAAGCTTCCTTAGCCTGACGAAGGGTTTTTGAACCCAAAAGCTTGCTTAATAAATATTTTCCAACTATTTGGGTTGGTCTAATAAAAGATATCAAATTCACTCAAGGAACCTTGTCTGCCTAAAAAGAACATATGCATTTATACACTGTGAAGTTCATAACATAGCACAACAGAAGAAGTCAGCAAATAGTTTGCTATACAGAAGCACACAATATTAATAATTTTTTAAAGGAGCAGGCATATTAATGGTATAATATTCAATGTTGAGCATTAAAAGCACATTAATATCTTTACTCAGAACCATATTTTCATGTAGAACCATCAGAAATAAAGTTAGAGAATATCTGGTATCACTAAAATCTTTTACTTTACCTAAGCATAAGCTAATTTGTATGTTGAAGTAATTTCCAAGACTATATCTGGGAAGAGAGCACATACATGAATGACTAGTTTTCTAGATTTTGGGGAGAACCATAAAACAGCATACTATCCAATGAAAGTAGCACATATGAAAATGAAATCCCCTCTCTCCCTGCCAAAGGAAACTACTAACACCTGGAGGATTCTACGTGTAGTAGAGTACATGTAACCTAAAATTCATCTGATAGGGGAATCACCGAAATCATGCAACTGTTACAGGAATAACTTATTAATGAATGAAACAGTTTATGAAGACATAATGTAAGAAAAGGAGATTTTCTGTTGCTTGATTCTAATTTTAAAAGATCCAGTAATTAACTGTGCCGAGACAGGATGTTAAAACAAGCAATTTATATTCAAGAACTTAAAAAAAAAAAAAAAAGGATTTGATTGCACTCCTCAGAGTATGATGTATTCAATGCCAAACCACTTTTCTCCCTAGAAAGCTCATTGAAGGTATGTTCTACTCTTAAGCAGGAAAACAGGTGTATATACTTTTACCTCAAGTATTTTATCTCCTGTTTTAAGGGCCTTTGTTCTTCCAGCTGGACTGTCTTCCAAGACTTGTTTGATAAAGATGCCTTTAAGTTCCTCGCCATTCTTTAGACGCTTTATGACAGTTTGACCACCAACAATACTGATTCCAAGAGACACATGAGGATCTCTACAGATTTCAACACTGTAAAAAGTAAACAACACCAGATAATTCAAAAGCTTTAAATATACATGATTACTTAATATGCCAAACAGACAAATTAGACTTCTGAATTTTACCAATTTATTAGAGCAATGTACACAGAAATGTTCATTTTTCACATTCAGAACTTGGGCCCATCACTACCCTCTAGCTGAATTCATATCAATAATAAAAAGTCTCTCATCAAGCTACTGTTACTCAAGTATACCAGTCAGAGGTCAGAAAGAACTCATGAAAGTCTCCTAAAGGTGATTACGTTATAGCAAAAGATGATGTGTATTGGGCAATTACTTGTGCTGAAATTTTATTCATGGATTATACTTAATCCAGTGGTTTTTACGTGGTTCTTAGGAAATACTGCAGGTAGCCAATGTATTTGTGGAGATGTAAAATGAAACTTAAGTAACCAATTCTGAAACAGAAACCTCAACTGATTAAATGTCAGATAAGTTTACTGAAGGGAGTCAACTTTCATAGTGTAAATATTCACACAATTTCTATTCTATTTCAATGCCAGAAATAAAAAAGCTATTCCGGCTATAGAACAGTATTAATCCAACAATTTAAACATTATGCAAATAGATGGGAATTAAATTAAATTCAACACACTATTGACCGAGCCAAATTCTGCGAGTTCAGAATTATCCCATTAAGATTAGCAGAGTGACTTGTATATCAGAGACCAGTACAGCTGAATAGTAACTTTCAACTAATCTGCAACATGAAAGTTGGAAAGCTCATTAAAAATCAACTGTATAAACAAAATATATAATCCTTTTCCAACAAATATCTTTTAAGAATACACAATATTTAATGAAGCCTGGAGCTTAACTATCATAATACAATTCTAGAGCATTCTAAAATAAAAAGTCCTTGAAAATAAACTCACACAGAATAAAAAAAGGTAAGGATTGTATATAAAAAAACCAAGCCACACCTCCCCTCCAACCCTCATGATTTCAAATCCCCAGGTATCAAATATCCCCAGGTATCAAATATTCCCCAAGCAGGAAAAAATAATATAAAAATGTCAACCTACGTTCGGGCTGGTCCCCAGTGACTGAAGTTTGGGGTTTCTTCTCCTTCTCCTTCTTCTCGCTCAGGTAATTCACTAATAGAAAGAGCAAACAAAACCACTAGTTCCACATCACAACCCCCTCAGACTACTGTCATAGCACAAGACATTTACAAAAGCCATTCTAACATATTCATAAGAAGAGTTTTTTCCCTTGTATCCAAGATCGTAGGTTGTCCTACAAGTCAAAATAAGACAGTGAAATCAAATTTAAATGCCTTTATGCCGTGGTTTAAATTGGTGTGTCTGCTCGTATTGTGTGTTATCACTCATTCTGCATGCCTATCTAGGCATACAGAAAGTTTTACTTACTGAGAATATGCTATAAATGATATGGATGTTGCACTGAAAGTCAATAATGGCAGATGAGTCTACCTGCAATGGAACTGGAGGAGCTGATTGGGAGCATTGAATGCAGTCCCCACAAGCAGGATATCACCGGGACTTTGCTCCCAAAAGCTTGCAGAAAAGGACAATTTTCTTGCGATTTCCCAGTTGGTCTAATAAAAGGTTATCACTTTGGAATGAAGAGTTCTAGTTTTTTGTATGGATATCACCCTCTGCACTGTAACAGCTTTCACTGCAACACCTCAAAGAGAAGTTTAGAGGTGAGGATTGAACATCTGTGTAGTCAACTTTCTCAATACAGATCCACTAGCCAAATCCCTACTGAGGAGAACTGCAGGATCATTAGCTCACATGACATAGCTCCATTGGTGCCCTGCAGCCTGGCAGGTGAGAGTTCAGAACATCTGACTACTCCAGGACCATCTATAAAGTTCAGTTTACTCTAAAGTTTGGTTTATGCAGGGGCAAAGGTTTGGCTTCAATGCATTCCAGGTATACACAGTTCACAGTGCGCTCTGCTCTCTCAGTCAACTAACTCAAAGCAAGAAGACAGAATTAAAAGAATTAATTGTAAATCATGCAATTCCTCCATACCTGGACAACACTGCTCTAGGCTGAGCAGCAACAGAAGCTTTCCCACGTTCCTGGTTCCTGGTAAGAGTATAACTCTCCACCTTCAGCTCATCCCTGTCAGTAGCTTCAAACTCTTCAACTAACCCAGCTCTTTTTGAGTCATTATGAAGCCCTGTATCCAAACAGTAAAGCATCTTGATGTAAGTGTCTCTATAGTGTTGTCATTTGCCAACAATACTTTATACTAACTAAAATACTTGGAAGTATAGCTCTCAAATCTGCCAAAGCCCATATGCAGGCTGCAATGAGTGACTAAGGCCCAAAACAATCATTTATGCAGGCAAATTAAATGTCAGTGGGGCCTCCCTCCTGTTGCATAAAAAATTCTCTCTACCTCCAGCTCTATGTTTTGGACAAACATATTTTTCAGTGGTAATAGGGATGCAAAATCTGCGTGAAACTTAGGTAAACTTTATGGAGTAGAATGATCTTCACAATAGGACACAAATGGAGAGAAGGGCTTAGAAACAAAATAAGACACTGCAAGCTTGAGGAGAGAACTTGGAAAACAAACCCCTTGCACCTGTTTGGAACCTGCTGAAGTCACGGGGGGGGCAGCATTCATTTTGGTCTTGGTCATGGGGGGATCCAGGATCATCCAGGCAAAAAGAATGCAGGCAAATTCCCCTTGGATGTGGGGCACATGTACAGTAAAGACAGCTCATTGCGCATATGCTACATACAACCAAAGGGGATGTGGCCACAACCCCCTTGTGAGCCTGGATGCGAGTGAGTTCTCAGAGCTCACTGGCATGTCAGCAGAGCTCCTGCTGGAATCTGTACATGTGCTGTGAGCTTTGTGACCTAACCGGCCTCTTGGTATGGGGTCTGCTCAGAGTCCCTCCTTGCAAGCAGATCCAGTGCCTGCTTCTGGAAAGGTTAGGCCCTTCCCCTGGTGCCCAGAATGCTAGATCATCATCCTAACCCTGTCTAACTGTTAATTTGAATATTGCTGCAATGGAAAGACGCATGCAAAAACTGTAATGCAGAATACACATGAGTGTGTAAATGTGAGATTGAAGCATAAAACACTTACAAACCTAAATCCAGTTTACCTTTTGTTACTGACTTGGTCATTTCCATATCAAACATGCCTTTTTGACTGCTGCTTTCTGCTGCGCCTCCAGAAGACAGTGAATGTCTACTGAGATTTTCTTCATACTTCATGGAGGAGAAAAAAAAAATATTGCAATGAGAAAATCCTGATTTTGACACCTAGAAAAGTGTTTAACAAACACTGGTTTTATAGCAAACATACATATTTTTTCAATTACCTTCATATTTATTTTTTCAGGCAATTAAGAAACAGTAATTGCTCATTTAGGAAATAACATCAACAAGATGTGCGAAAAATTAAAATATAGATTGAACTTTGTGCTTTTCCACCTGGTTGCAATTTAGACAGAAAATGCGGGGAGGAGGGAAGGTTCTTTTTCATGTACATTTATGGGAAATGAAGATACTTTAGACCCAATAGGATGTTCACAGGAAGTTGGATTTTGGCATCTTTTTATACAAAAGACAGTGCAGGACCACAAGAAAGGCAAGCTCCAAGGTTCTGTTCCTAGCTCCGATATTAAATTCCTCTCTTGTTCAATTTCTTCATCTGAAAATGGACTTGTATTGGGAAACCACGTTTTCTCCTTCTATCTGGTGCACCAGAAAGAGGAAGAAAAAATCCTTGAAGAAGGCCTCAGTGAATCTGAGGATGCTGTGCTGTTTCCTATGCTGTCTCATTGCCTCTCTTCCCCTACGCATTATCATTTGTCTGTCACTATATCATTTCCCTCATAATTTCCTGAACCATTGGTCTACTTTATCCTAGAGGAAGCAACTGCCCTGAGTAGAACTACCATTTAGATCTCTATGGACTTGTTTTCACTTCACTCACAGCATCATAGGCTTTGAAGGGATCAACGGTTATCATCAGTCCCCTGCGTAAATGCAAGATTTTATTTGCTGTTCCCAAACAGCAAACCAGGCCAAACAGATGCTTTCGCAGCTTCTCCTTGAAAACCCCCAAATGAACTTTCATTGCTTTCCTAAACAGCTGGTTTGACCATTGTACTGCTTTTCCAGTCATCATTTTTTTTCCCAAAATTGAATCTAAATCTGCTCTGCTGCAGTTTAAACCCAAGGCCTCTTTTCCTGCCCTCTGTCTAAAGCAAAGTATTTTTTCTCCCTTTCTCTTCCTTGAAATGTATGGCCGATTTTCAGATATCTGAAAACTTATCATTTTCCTCTTTCATGTTTTTTTCACCACATTAAATATATCTAGCTCCTCTTACAGCTTTTGTTCAACTCCTTTGTTGTCATTAACACTTGCCTCTAGATCCTTTGCAATTTCTCTAAATCCTCCTTAATATTCAGTGCCAAAAAATGGACATAGTACTCCAGCTGAGGCATAATCACCACCCAATAGAGTGGTACAATCATTTTGCATACAGTGCTTCTGTGACTGCAACCCAAAATTGCATTTGCTTTTTTTCCCTGACAACACACTGCTGATTCATGTGATCTACCATATAATCCCTAGTGATATTGCCAAGCCAATTATCCCTATTCTGTATTTGTGCATTCAGTTTTCCCCACCTGTTTTTGTGTAGCATCTGTTACCTACTATTCAGTTCTCCAACTTATTAAGGTTCCTTTCAAATTTAATTCTATCCTTCAAAGTGTTTGCAACAGTCTTGTGTCTGCAAATATGATTATTATTCTGTGTATTCCTGCACCCAAGTTATTAATACAAATGTTAAAACAGTGACTCGAAAACCCCAGTAGAACCACTTGAGTCCTCCTGCCAATTTGATATCAATCCATTAACAGATAATTTTTGCTTGCAGATATTCAACCAGTTACATATCCACCTCATGATGGTTCTATCTAGACTGTATTTCTCTATCTTACTTATGAAAATGGCATGTGGGACTGCATCAAAATTTAATAGAGTCCAGGGATATTATGTCCATTGAATTGCCCTTATCCATTAAACAAGTTAGCCTGTCAAAAGAGAAAATCAAGCTAGTTTTGCATAATTTGACATGCCAGTTCAAGTCAACACTGAGCAGTGATCTCCTCCCGAGTTAGCCAGACCTTGAACGAGAGCAGTTGCACTGCAAATCAATACTTGAGCTTCACAGAAGATTTGCAGTTTGAGAAACTGCATCCTCACTGCATTACTAGCCCCAGGGTCAGAGCCTTTTGGGTTTCAACAGGCCAGGTTTAGATCCCCGCTCCTTCACTCAAGCTGAGTATTTTTGCATGACTTTGTTCCTAGGGGATTCAAACCCATGACAAAATCAGCACCGAAAGGGGAGTGGAGAGGAAGCGCAGAGTTGAAGGCAGGCCCAGCTTTGCAGAGGCAGGAGGGAAGAGGCAGTTGCAAAGGTGAGGCAAAGAAGTCAGGTTACTGCGATCTCTCTTTCATTGCAGCAGATGATGGAACCTGCGGGAACCTGAACCAGTGGCACAACCAGGGTGGCATAAAGACGGGCATGGGTGCATCCAGAAAGGTTGGTCTCCCCAGGGGTGCTGAAGTGCCTGAAGCAAGTCCCCTGTCCCCCACCCACTCTTCCCAACTTCCTATTTATATTTGTTGAGAGTGGAGGGCAAAAAAGGCCAACTACAGGTATGCTGTGGGGGAGGGAGGACAGTAGGTAACAAGAGAAATCACAGCCCTGCCCCCTCCTGCCCCACAGTCAGGGGCCATGAAGGGCAGAGGGAGCTGTTTGGGAAGGGTTTTGAGGGAAAGGGTCTCCTAGGCGATGATGCACCCCCTTTTCAAAATCCGGGATCTGCCCAGGGTTACAAGAATCAAGCTCAGATCCACCTTTGGTGTCGGCTAGCAAGTCCTGCATCAATGCAGAGCTGGACTTCAACAGGACAGTGTACAGATAAAGTTGCCCCTGAGGCATGATTGAGATGTAAGATACCATTTCTTACCATTTGCTCATCATCATACGGATACTGTGGGGTCTGATTAGCACTTATGGCAAGTGTGGAACTTAATTCTTGTATTTCAGTTGGCTCAAGTAGCTTTACCCACTGTCCTGTAGGGCTCAGGTTCTCCTCTACAGGTGGAGTTGTTTCCTTTACATATGATGAGTTGTACCTAAAAATGTTCAAGTCCACATCATACTCATCATCCACTAACATTTCCTGTTCTTCACCAACTTCTTCTATTGCAGGCTTCAGAAATTCATGCATTTCCCAGGACTCTCTCTCACTGTCCGATTCATTCTGAGGTAGCTGAAGGGACCTCCTCAGATCCAGAACTGGTTCATCAACAACTTCTTCTTTAAAGGGTGTTTCATCTCTAAAACCCTGCATAAAACATAATATAGATTTCACACCATACATCCTGCTAGCTCTCTTTAGGTTATGTTTTATGCTAGGCACATTTAAAAATTACAACCTCTGGTTTTTAAAACAGTACCTTATAGCTTTCACACTTTACTAAAAGAAGTAATACTAGACCCCTAAAGCTTGCTCTAAATTATTGGCTTTATACAGAAAATAGACACAAGATTTTTTTTTAAAGAAAGAAGTGAAATTTGAAGCAGCTCAGCTACTGCTCGATCTGTACAAAAAGCAAACCTGAGTTAAAGTTGGAGAACAGGAACTGCGAGACAATATTTTTAAAGAACTACAGGAAAAAATCTAAGTAAATCTAATGGAAGTAGCACTCTACTCTGGACTTAGTCAGCCATCCAAACATGGACACTTTTCAAAGTAAAATCAGTCAAACAGGGATGCTTTCAGGAAGCCTCCGTATGAAACAGTGAGGGCACTCAAATACTCTCTCTGTTGCTCTCATTCTATACGGTCATTCAATTAATAAAATAAACGAATCCCAAAGTTCAAAAACATCAAACCTCTTACCTTGATTCTGAACCACTAAAGTATATTTGTCATGCAAGGGAAGGGTTAGCAGCAGGGTGGACAGCTGTACCGAAGGTAACACAGGGAATGACAGCAGTAAAGACACAGCAACATAGGCTCCAAGAGCTGGGATACATATTTAGTGTCCTCACCAACAGGCTTGGTAAGCCAATACAGAAGTTTGTTCAATCCCCATCTTCATTGTTAACCGTGCTAGCTAGCTCAAAAGTTCTCATGTATGCCTGCGCACACTGCGATCACATCTTCCCCAGTAGAGTACACGTCAGTGACTCAGCGGGGCAGACATAACCTACTCTGGTGGATGGGATGTTGATTTTTAATGAAAGGACATCACAGAAATAAGAGGAAGGAGAAACATTTAACTCAAAAAAGTAACTGAACTCAAGGCAGGGGCCTGCCAGCACCTATTTTAATTGTTTTGTGCAGGTGAGTCTGAAAGCCATGACTCCCACTACATACAACTGCTAGCAAAGCTCGCTCACGATGAAACCCTGCCTTTTTCTCTGTCTCAGTAAGAGCACCAGTGTGTACCCTCTCCTACTGTACTCAAGACAGCTAAACACTGAGCTAAAACCAACGAATTGGTACCCTATTCTTCCTTTCTCCTCCCAAATTCATTGTGAATATTTAATTTTTGTATTATTATATTACCTAGAAAACTTGTCACACTGTAGGACCACGATCCCATCAGACAAGGTACTGTGGGTCCCATTCTACATCTACTGTGCATCTAAATGTGATCCAACTCCACACTGCTCAAGTCCCCCAAAAAACACTAACACGTCTACCACGGTAGCCTTAGGATTAAGTCAGAATGCATAGACAACAGGAGGATTCAGCTATGCTTCGCATTAATGGATTTCAAGAACTCAAAGAGACTGGAAATAGATCACACTTGGATACATAATCTAAGTAGAATAGAATCTGGCACTATACAACCGGAACAAGACAAGACATTAGTCCCCATCCCAAAGCAATCTAAGCAAAAGACAACAGATACATGCAGACAAATGGTGGAACAATGAGACAATATTGGTCAACATCACATGTAGGGACGTTTTTTTTTGTAGGCACTGGCACCCAATTGCCTACTGGGTCTGTTGCCTTGACTTGTCCCTCTAACTGGTATTCTAGTTCTTTTTTTTTTTTTTTAAATCTGGTTCTCTTAGGCTCTGCCTTGTTTCATTTCATTTTTCATGTGTTAACTATTTTGCCACTGTGTCCTGCACTGTCAATGTGCAAGACACAGTGGCAAAGTGCTAAAGACTGAAGGCTCCAAAGGCTGAAGCTCCAAAGGCACTAACTGGAATCCAGCTCAGGTTATGCACTGAAGGCAACCATAGGCAACTCAGCCATAAATGAGTAGCTGGTCCCATTCAGGCAGCCAGATATAATGACAGTTACTAGGACTGTGCGAAGCTTCGGTCCCCAATTTGATTCAGTGGAGATTTGACCCGATTTGGTGGCCGAGTCTCCAAATCCGAATCGAATCAGAGGACCCTTTAATCTCTCCAAATCGAATCAGAACTCTCCGAATTGATTTGGAGAGATTCAGAAAGATTCGGAGATTCAGACATACAGACAGCTTTAAATGTTTTTTCTATATACCTCTAGGTAGCAGGGGCTTGTGAATGCTGTGATGGATGGAGTGTCCCACAGAAGCACAGGGGACTCCCCAGCGCGCTCGCCAGCAGACCCAGAAGTGGACCAGAAGCACTTCCAGTCTACTTCCGGGTCTGCTGGGAAGCACGTGGGGGGGGATCCCCCCGCACCTCCTCAATTCGGTGACTGGTGCCTTCTGGGTCCCTGAGCGAGGGGGCGGGGGGGCAGAGCACTATACTTTGTTGAAAGGCATCAACTGCATTGTTACATACAATAGCAGACCAAACCCAGTAATGCATGCATGCGTATATGTATATGTATGCATAAACTCAACCTTTTGTGTATATTTTTTTTTTTCTTAGAAGTTACTGCACTGCAGTAACTGACTACAAATGGAATAGGAAATATTGAAAACATGCTGGTAAAGTGCACTATCATAATGTTCAAAATGTTGAGTTTTTTTAAAGCTAATAACCTCCTGCCATTACTATATTGCCTCATAAAACACAGTACAAAATCCAACTACATTTTACTCCTTCCTTGAACTTGAAGATATAGCATATTAAGAGTATGGAAATTTTACAGTGCATCTGTGAGCTATTATTAAGTCATCATAAATAAGATGCAGCAAATACACTCAGCAGTATTTTAAACAAACTGACCATTTTGCTACTGAAGCAACAGCAGTTTCAGTTGAAATACTTTTATTTAGGGGGGCTTAACTAATAATATTTTAACCAAAGGGAAAACAGAGAAACAGGTTGGTCCATCAGATCCTCCAGCGACTGCCCTACTGCACCCAACAACTACAAATAAATGTAATCTCATCATCATGTTGCATTTCAAGACCCATTAGTTGCAGCGCTCAGTCCATATTTTTTTTATACAGTATACATACCCACCTCTTAAGTGGCATACACTATACTGTTTCTTTTATTATTTGGTCGTAGTTAAAGGCAAGATTAGGAACCAGGAAATCTGGGATTTAATTTGCCTCTGCAGAGTTCTGTATGTGACGGTCCTTACCCTTGATTTCACAATCTTTAAGAATAATCCTTATAATGCCATGTTTCTTAGTGCAGTGTTGCTAAGGTTCATTCATTCATGGTTGTTAGGCATTTTGAAATCTTCAGGCAAAAGCAGCACAATATCAATCTCTCTCATTTTCAGGTACTTTATGGTCCCTTTTACCACTATAACCGAGCTCCTCCAGTCATTCATGGATTGGCACTTACTACACCACTGTGAGAACATAAAATGGGGAGAAGAGCATCTCCTTAAAAAGAACTGAGGCATGGAAAGGTTAGAAGACTAGCCCAAGGCTGTACAGAAATTCTGACAGAGCAGTGACTTCTCTGCTACTGCCCTAACCACCAATCTGCTTTTACTTTAAAAAAGTCCTCTTCCTTCCACATCCTTCTCTCTTATCCCTCTCTCTTAGCTTCTTTCCCTGTTAATAGTAGAGCTAGAATTTCAAGGTATTATTCAAGGGAACACAAAGCATTTTAATATAATAAGTGAGACAGCATGGTAGTCCAGTAACCACGTAAGCAGGTATTATGTATGTATTAGCCCACAAGAAGACTCAGCCCTTAGGGTCTACTTTAGAGGGAGAACGTTAGCCACAGAACATGTTTTATCCAAGACTTATTTCCGCCCCAACACCGCAGAGGGAAACCTTGTAATTGCCATCATGTCTGAAGGACACATCATTTTTTAAATTATTATTTTAGAAACTGGATTTCTGCTTACATAAAAGTAAGAAGAATGAAGGGCAACAGCCAAATACCTGTGGTGCCTCAAGTATTACTGATGAATGAAAATCATCCATGGGTGCTGGAGATCCATAGCTGCCTTTGACAGTGCTGGGATCCACAGTGCAAGTGTTCTGTTTTTCATTGCTCTCTCCCTAGAAAGGCCATCAAATTTACATTAGCATTAAAATATTTTAAGGAAAGCAAAAAGGCCCAGTATTCTTAAAATAAAAAGTTGGGATGTTGAGAAGTGGCAGAAAATAACCACAGAGGCTAAGGAGACAGGGAAGGAAAGAGAAACTGAAAAGATAAAGACCGGCCTTCATAAAAATACAGAAACAAGAAAAGAAGGCATTGGCTCAGAATATGTACAACAATACGTTTATAGAAAGGCCAGATTGTATTTAAGAACCTGGTTACTTTCACCTTTCACCACTCCTTTATCAGCATCTCTCTCCTAGCAGGTGCTGCTTTACTTTACAGGAATATACAGTTAAACCGCTGAAGAATGGAGCAGCAGTCTCAAACGAGCAGTCATAGTTGTTCTACAACCTCAATTCCAGAAAGAATCCTTGTACTTACCTTCAAGCATACGCCTACGTCTCATCCACTTCAACATTTGAATTTAAGTGCACTCTTCAGTGATGGACTTAAGCAAATGTTCAACTGCTATGCACACAGATTCCATTTATTCATGTCACCATCAGCATTACACAGAACAAGTTAAAATCAATCTTACCATCAAAGGTTTGCAGATGCCAAGGCGAACCATACCCAGGGGCACAGATTTCAACACTTCTACTGCCTCTGCTAGCGTACTGTTGTCCAAATATTTCTCATTTACAAAAACCAGGCGGTCTCCTGGTAGCAATTCACCCCCACGTTCAGCTACACCACCCGCTACCAGAGAGCTGATCACAATGGCGGTTCGCGTTGGATCTAAGGGATCCTGAAAAGACAACCACATGAAAAAAAGGCATACATATGGTATGTTATTTATTTTCAGTGGTCATCATCTATCATACACTTAGGAGCTCACACACACCAGACAGTTCAGTGGACTTGTCCTCTAAGACAAACCACCTTAACAACCTGAAAATGGATTCTGTAGCATGCCAACAGGTTAATAAATCCAGATCCTGAGCTGGTTGATTTGTGCCTTCCCAAAGCAGTTCTTTCAAGTGAAGGAGAGGCCAAGCCAAGGTGCAGATGGAAAAGCAGCAGTGACTCTTGGCTCTTTCACAGTCCTGCATTCCTCCCCATTCTGATGTAAATCTATAGAAATAACCTCCCACTTTCCGCTTTTCAGGTCAATTAAAATGTATTTTTAAAAAATCCTTCTTTATATTAGTTATGTACATTTGTAGAAATTATTGTACTATAAAGTATAGAACTATTATTTTACCTGGGCATTCATTTAAAATGACAAATTCCCTTCTCCCTAAAAGCTTTGCGGATATGGACAGATCAACATATTAAGAGGGGGAGTTAACTGAGTTAAGAGGGAGATTGCTATGTACCAGCTGTTTCACAGTAATTACTTTGTGTATCTGCTCCTATCCCAAAGTAAGTAGATGCTAAATTGCGGCAGCTCGATTCTGAATGACACAGGGCTACAATCCTATGACAGGACAGAACTGGACAAAAACTGTTACTGTGAAACAGCTGATGCACAGTGATTTCCACTCACCTTCCTTTAATTCAGTATAATTTGTTCATCTGTCCATACCATCAGTGTAAAAAAAAAAGGGGGAAGACAAGACCACAGCTCAGGAAAGGAAAACGTAACAATTACTAGTAATGATAACAAATTGTGGTAGAACTGCATGAAGAGATGGGAACTGAGAAAGGCAGACAGATTTTGGAGGGTAAATGATACTTAAAATAATTTGGAAGATGCTTATTCCAATTTAGGAGTATTTTTCAATACTTTTCGCCATGAATTTATATATGATGTACCAGTTTCATCTAACACTTAACCATTTAAAAATTCATCTTCGGTCCAATATAGTGGTCAAGATTTTAATCATTACAAGGTAGCAGAATATCTATAGAAAAAAGTCATATACTAATTATTATAAAAGCTAATTGCAAATTCAGGAGCAATTTTATTTTAAGATTGTGGTGCATGCTCTTGCTCTCTCTCTAGAACCCATAGAGCTCTGTAATTGTCCTTGTGTGCATGTCTACAGGTATGTTAGGTATATACAGGCTACATAAGCTTGCATTTTTTCCCTTGGAACGTCTACCCAATTCAATGCACATGATGGCTGCACAAAGGGGTAGGGCAAAGATCGCACAGGCCATAATAATATCGCACTTCCTAACATCTGAATCTTCAAGTCTTCAAGCTAAACTACCTTCTTCTAAATCTGTTTTATTTGCATGCAACTGCGCGCATGCTATGCTTCTAAAAGGAACAATTAACTTTATGAAAAATGGAGGGGGGCGAGTGGGGAGGAAGGTAATAAGGTCAGGAAAAGACAGAAGTTAGAGATAAGTCAATCAGTTTAAGAACCAGCCTGAAGCAGGACCGGGCTAAGATAAATTAAACTAATTCCTCCACGCTCCGCTTCCGACTCCATTTCAGATGCTTCCCATATACTAGCCACCCTTGTCCTACACGAGTCTTTTCCCGCATGAATACGGGACGTGTAATCAGGTCTCTTTTGTGGGCCCTGAGGCACTGTTCACTCAAGTCTGCCAGCATGCCTGAGACTTGCACTCACACTGCAGCTCTGGCAAGAAGCTTCAGGATAGAAAACCACCAAAAGATTTCACTTGTTTTAAATGCCAAACCATTCCCACCATGCAAAGACACCCCGAATAAAAACACCCCAAATAAACTACCTATGACATTAGAGAAGGGGCTCAGGGGGGCTCACCAGTCTCTCTAAAAATAATGAAAAGGCAAATTTAGAAAGGTTTCAGAGTATTGAAAGGCTGTATATATTTTTGGAGATTTGGTGTGTGGGGACCCTGCAGAGATTGCACCTGCTCCTTGTAAACAAAGTGCTGCAGCCTTGGCCCATCTCAACTAGAAAACCCAGGTGTAAAACAGATCCACATTTAACAATCCTGATTGCAGTCAACTAGAACATGGAAACCCCTTTTCACATTTGCTTTGGAGGTTTCTCCATTTCTTTTCACTCTGCCTTGAAACAAAACCTTTGGATTGGTTTTGTGAAAAGGGAATTGTTTGGAAATGTCCGGCTCTGAAGCGAGGGGGCGAATCATTGTCTATGTTAAAAAGGCTTTGTACGTATAATTGCACCAGCATGCATTCCTGGTCTTTCGGCACAGCTTATGCCATCAAAAACTGCATATATTCTGGTTTCCTGAAGAGAGAATTGTTGGCAACATCAGAACTGTTTTACGGTCGTCACTGCATTTACAGAACAGCTCTGCCAGGTTTTGCCTGTTTGTTTTTTTAACAAAAAAACCCCACACTTAACTGATGCAAGTTTGCCAACATCGTTGAGTGCGAGTGAGCGAGGGGCCAGGTGACTGGGGCACTGGCCTAGGATGTGGACCCAGATAAAAGTTCGATTCAAAAGAAAACTTTCCTTGAAGATCACTCAGTTTCAGGCTGCACCAGACTTTAATCGCTTGTGTCCCACACTTCAAGCCAGCATCCTAACCATTAGGTTAGAAAGAAAGTGTCTCTCATTAGAGTTTCAATTAAGTTTTTATTGAACCCAAGGCAATTTGGCTGTGATAAAACCATGTTTCTTGAAGAAATTTCATTTAGTCAAAAATATTCCAAGTACAATTATTCCCATAGTTACCATGGAAATAGCCAGGAGACTCACAGGATACCTGACACTGAGTCAGGATAATGTTTTGAAGACAGCATTAATAGCACTATTTTGAGATGTCTGACTTGCCCTTACGCAAGCCAAGTAAGTGTATCATTCAGTACAGGAAACAGCAGGGAGCGAAACAGAAATAATAATAATAATAATAATAATAATATAAAAATCACCAATCAGACAAGTATAAAACAGGGTCTTGTTCTGCCATATGTTATAATTACGCTGATGTTTTCAAGCAGAGGGAGCTATTGTATAGGAAGAGAAGAGAAATCTAAAACTACGCAATGACAGAGATGTATCAGTTGGAAACCAAAGTCCTGTAGAGAAGCTGAATAGTTTGTCACCAATAACCATGAATCACAACATAAAATGCCACAAGGCTTGCCCCCAACATTGTTTCCTGATATACAAAGCTATTACTTTAAGACTTAAATAAAAATAAATATGCTTTAAAATGTGAAAGGCCAGATTTTATCCAAAATCCTAGGTTTGCATCTAACTTTTTAACAATAAAAACAGTATTTACTAATGAAACGCTGTTATGCATGAGTTAACTCTAAAGTAAATGCCAAACAAATCCAGAAGGAATAACAATGCTTGCCAATAGTATATAGTAAGGCATTTTAATTCACATTTGTGCCTTAGTAGGCTGCGAATAATAAAATGCTTTTTTATATATATATATATATATATATATATATATATATATATATATGGCTAAAGGTAGGTTGTGGGTGGTGCATGCTGAAGCCTTGCAGTTAGCCAGAGGAGGAGCAGGCAATGGCCATGGTGGGTTTCCTCACCCTGCTCTGAGAAGGGGTCTTGGGGCGCTGTAGGAGTCACCTCCTCGGTCCTTCTACTATAGTTTCCAAAGAGCGCTAATTATGGTGGGTTTTACGCATCCTGATGCTCTTGATTCATTTCATATATGACACCACAAGATGATAATGACTTTTGGTCTGGATTTCAGCTGGTGACTCCCAGATAAAGGCTCATTTAGTTAGGCTAAGATAGGGATGATAGGCTAGGAGTTATAATCCTAACACATTAGGGTTAAAACATTCCCCTAAGGGAGAAACTAATCAGTTCAATCAAATTGCAAGCCCACTGTCTTATATCTGGATCTGGCATGACTTCAGCTTGAGCTGTTTAATGTGAATGCACTTGTACAGTCATATTCCTCATAAGAAAGAAAGAAAAAAGCAAAGTTAGGAAGAGGAAGAAAAACCTCCTGGGGCCCTTTATGGAAAGAAACTGCAACAAAAGTGATGTGGTGCATTTTATATGTGCAACAACTGAACAGATACGAGTCAACTGTAGTGCACACTATATCTCAGTCTCGGTAGCTAGCCATCAAATGCCTCTTAACGGGGGTGGTGGTGGGGTGTGTGTGTGTTGGGGGGGGGGTAATTAGTTTTTTTCCTACTTTTGTTCCAAGCCTGCCTATAAACCGGTATCAGGGGGGTCACATTATATTCATATTTAACACACAGTATATTTTTTATTATATTGAACCAAAGTACCCCCTTTAATCCCCAATCAAAGCCACACATTTCCTGGAACATGTGTGTCAGATTTGCCTCTTCATTCTCACAGCCTCATTTGTTCTGGATTCATTTAGCAATGCAAAGAGTCAAGAAGGGGCCACTTCAATTTCTCCCTCTGTGAACCTGGGTTCTGAGCTGTAAGAAGGCTCCTACGGAAACCAGCACCATTCGAGGTACAAGCCTCACGAATACCAGGTCAGCAGAGTCATGCGTGTTAGAATCAGAGAACAGAAAAACTGGAAGGGACCTATAAGATCATCAAGTCCAGTCTGCTGCTGTGGGCAGGAAGTGATTGGGCTCAACCGGGCTCGACAAGGTGCTTGTCCAGCCTCATCTTGAATACCTCCAGGGATGGTGATTGCACCACCCCTGCTGGGAGTGTGCTCTAGGTTATGCTGATGGCATAACCCAGTGTTTTGCCAACCCATAACTGTAGCAGAACCCAATGTTGAGATCTCAAAAAATGATTGGTAGCATATTTACTGAAGGTTTTCAGCCAATTAACTCTCAGGTTAATTTAGGAGAAAGTTCCTGGAGTACAATCCGTATACAGAACCTCAATCCATCAGGCTGGAGAATCCAAGTGA